ATTAATAAAGCAATTTATAAAAAGGAAAAAACTTACCGCAGTTTCCACTTCTGCTCGGGTTGAATATCTTTTTAGTTTGAAATCAGTGCTGTCAACCGTCAACCCAAGCCAAGAAGAAACTACGGAGTTGCCATATGCTATATTGCAAACAAAGTTGCACGAATAATGAAATAACAGGGCCCGTTTCACAACATTCCCACCCCCGTGAATCCGTCACGATTCACCACTGGAGACATCAAGAATGGCTAGCCTGGATGTAGGCCTTTGTGTTAGCCCGGTGGCCGTACGCACATTCGCACGTCTCACCTCGCCATCTGAACCGGTGAACACCTTCTCTACCAAACCTCGGCGCCAATCTTTCCTGGATACGGTTGGGTCACAAATAAACACCAAGTCTCCCTCTTTCAGACTTCTCATAGGATGACACCACTTAACTCGGCGGGTTAGCGTTGGAAGATACTCGGCCACCCATCTTTTCCAGAATCTCTTCCGAAGCTCTCTGGCGATGCGCCACTGTTTCCGTATAGCACACAGGTTAACAGGCTGTTCATCGATGTGACCGGTCTGGGCAGTGTTGGCGCTTCCAAGCAGGAAATGATTCGGAGTCAATGGCTCCTCTTGATCCGGCGATATTGGCAGGTGTGTCAGGGGGCGGGAGTTAACTATGTTCTCCGCTTCTATCATAAGACTTTGCAACGTAAATTCTCTCGGAGCGACTTCCTTCATGGTGTGTCTCAGCACGCGCTTAACGCACTGGACCATTCGCTCCCAGACGCCTCCCTCAGATGGATTAGCTGGACAGTTGAATAGCCACTCCACGCCCTTTGATGTCAACTCTGTGTGAACCACCTGACAATCAAAAACGTCTGAGAAGCGCCTCATATCGTTATCCACTCCAATAAAGTTCTTGCCGTTGTCCGATCGTATTCTCCGTGGGACTCCTCTACGGTTCATGAAATTGCGCATCGCCAAAATACAGGCGTCCGTGGACAAGTCGTATGCAACCTCCAAATGGATAGCACGTACCGTAAGGCATGTAAAGAGTGCTACCCATCGCTTTTCTACTCGGCGCCCAATAGTCACGCTTACTGGTCCAAAGTAATCCATTCCTGTAAAGGTAAATGGTCTATTATATGGCGTGAGGCGGTCCTTCGGCAGCGGTCCCATCATTGGCTGCACAGGCTTAGCGTTCTTAATTTTGCACACGTTGCACCTCGAAATTACGCTTCGGAGAAGTCTTCGCAGACGAGGAATCCAGAACTTCTGCCGTATCTGACAAATCGTTGCCTCGCTATTTTGGTGCATCATCTTGTCGTGGACATCGGCGACCATAAGCTTAGTACACGCGTGGCTACTTGGAAGTATTATTGGACGTTTCATCTCGTAGGGTATCCAGCTTCCGGAGTCTAGTCGTCCACGGACGCGAAGTATACCATTTTCGTCGACATAAGCAGAGAGTGAATACAACTCGCTGTTTCTTGGAAGCGAAGCCCCTTTATGAAGGATTTAGAGTTCATTGGCGAATTGGCTCTGTTGAGCTTGTCGGCACACAAAGTGTTCAGCTGCGTTCAGCTCGTCCACTGAAAGACCATATTCCGCTGAAAGCGTTGTATTCCCTGGCCCTTCCCTGCACCGGCTCACGAATCGCATCACCCAGGCAACAAATCTCTTCAGCTTGGTAAATGAGGAGAATCTGGAGAAGTCCATCAGATTCGGCTTATTGGTAACCAATACCAGTCGGGAGCGAAGCTCTTCCTCATCCTCGCACGTGTCAACGACAGGATTTCTCGGCCACATGTGTTCCTCCTGAGTAAGAAATTTCGGACCTGCGTACCATCGGGAAGAAGGGCTGAAGTCGCACGTTACGCTTAAGCGAGTCCCCTCGTCGGCAACGTTTTCGCCAGTAGGTATCCATCTCCAATTGGGTGGCTGGGTCACATCTAGTATCTCGGTCACCCTGTGCGCTACAAATGGCTTGTAGCGACGGTGCTCGCTATTTATCCACTTTATGACCGTTGATGAATCACTCCAGAGTACGCAGCGGTCGACGCGGAAGGAATGATTGCTGAGAACCGTTGACATAAGACGGGTGCCCAGTACTGCGGCTTGCAATTCTAGGCGAGGAATCGACAGCGCCTTCAGAGGCGCACTACGGGACTTGGCGGCAACGAGGGTGACTACTCCATCGCTATAAGTAGTCTGTGCTCTCCAATATGCTACGGCCGCGAAGGCCTCCTCACTGGCGTCAACAAATATGTGCAACTGAAGAGTAAGTAGCGACCCACCAAGAAAGTAGTGTCTGGGAACTTGACAACCGATGACGTTGACTAACTGTTGTCGGAACAGATTCCAAATGTTGTTTACTTCGTTAGGAATTGGCTCGTCCCAGCCAATCGCTCGCTTCCAAAGTTGTCGCAGCATCCACTTTGCGGTGACAGTAAAGTGGCACAGAAATCCCAAGGGGTCAAAGATGGACATTGTTATACTCAGCAACTCCCTTTTTGTTGGCGGACGGACACCTTCTACAACAGACTTATCAACGCCGTGGAACTTCAGATTATAAGTGAAAGAGTCGGTTGACGGCTGCCACAACATTCCAAGCACCTTCTCTGATCCTGGGCTGTCTTTGCATTGAATGGATAGTTCATTGTAACTACCACCGAATTCCTTGACGACTGCTGGCGAATTCGATACGAATTTATGAAGTTCGAATCCGGCATCTTTGTGAATATGATGAACCTGTCTTGACACGTTGATGGCCTGCTCGCAATCCTCGAAGCTATCGACAAAGTCGTCGACGTAATGATGGTCAGTGATAGCTTTAATGGCACGAGGATCGTAATGCTTGTGGTCTAACGCGTTAATATTCTTAACGAAATGAGCCGAACTTGGTGAGCAGGCCGCTCCAAAAGTCATTGCTGTCATTTCGTATATATCTGGGATCCTCTCAGAATCTCCGCCTCTCCAGAGAAATCGTTGGGCGCTTCTGTCGTCCGGACGAATGACAACTTGATGGAACATTTCCTTGATATCTGCGCAGACTCCTACTGGGCCCTCTCGAAAATGAAATAGCACTGACGCTAATGGCCGACACTGTTGCGGGCCCTTTAGAAGGCAGGAGTTAAGTGACACTCCATTTACCGTTGCGGCGGCGTCGAATACCAGGCGTATCTTCCCCGGCTTGTTTGGGTTACTTACGGCAAAGTGCGGAAGATACCATGTCCTCGGACTCGTCTGAGCACTTTCCTGTGGCGACAGCTTACGAGCGTATCCCTTAACAACGTAGCTCCGGATGATGTTATTATACGATTCAGCAAACTCTGGATTCCTTTTCATCTTCCGCTCAATACCAACCAGACGATGCATTGCCATGTCGTAACTTTCCGGCAACACGATTCCATCGGCCTTCCACAGAAGCCCTGTCTGAAACCGATTGCCAACCCTAACGGTAGTCTCTTCTAAGATTCGTCGTGCACGCACTTCGTCTGCACTTTCAACAAGTGGCAAAGGTTTTACCCCGAAAGACTCGGTAGAGAAATATTCAGACACCATATCGTGCAACGGCGGATCAGGAATACATCTGGTATGTAAACAAACCGGTTCTTTTGTCTGCCTTTCCACTGGCCCGAATACAACCCAACCTAGTTCGGTGTGAGCGGCATATGGACCCAGACATTTGGAACTCATTAAATGTGTGGGCAGACCGAGATGACTATGATCGAGCCCAATCAGCACAGAAGGCGCGACATCTTTATACGGCTGCATCGGTAATTTCCCTCTATTGCGTGCAACGTCAGGAATGTCACGTTCGCGGAGCGTTTGTGTAGGTAACATAAGGTTGGAAATCCCGTGCACGTTGCGAAGCGTATGGCGTTTCTTCATTCCCACTCCGCTGACCTCGATATCGACTATGGCAACCGCTTGCCTGGCGGCCTTCCCGCCAAACCATTGAATGTCTACGTCCTGGCACTGACCGCTAACGCCCAGGTCTTCCATCACCGCGTAGTCCATCATAGTAATTGATGACCCTTCGTCCAGAAGTGCATATGTATTAACACTCTTTTTGGGACCATATAGAGTGACTGGCAGCACTCGGAAGAGTATGTCGTTGTTGAGCGCGGACGAGCAATTCAATACCGGATTATTGTTTTTCACCTCGGGTGACGTTACTATTGGCTTGCGAGTTGACTCAGTGGAATCCCTTGAGGCGACTGATCGAGTCGGAGGAGATGCCTCGGTGCTATGCAATAATTGATGGTGGTTTCTCAGACATCCACATGCCTTACGGCGGCGACATTCTCGAGTAGCATGCCCGGTTTTTAAACAACTGAAGCAGAGTCGAAGCTGTTTGGCCTTATTCCACCTCTCTAAAATAGAGGCATCTTTAAATCGTTGACATTCCGAGACGTTGTGTTCGTCTTGGCATAATGAGCATTTGGGTTGCTCATCAGTTGCGGTGTGTAATACCGCACGGCGTTTCGTATCCTGAACCTCGGGCTCCATGACTATCTGGACATAATTTGAAACATCGGTCAACCATGAGTTGAAGCTTACGATGGTTGGGTATGGCCTTACAGTAACCGCATAACGTGCCCATTCCAGGCGTCTCGTAAGAGGAAGCTTCGACACGAGCTCCTCGAGGAGAGTAGGGTTCGCTAAATGTCTCTCTTCCCCCATTGATTGCAGAAATATTGTCAGATTGTTAGTGAAGGTAGCAAATTGCACGATTTTCCCAGTTGCTCCCTCTGGCACGTTTGGCGTATCTCGGACCTGCTTCATTTGGCTACGTATCAGTTGCTCTGGTCGTCCGAATCGGAAACGAAGTTGTTCCATAACGGCACTGACGTTATTTGGTTGAATTAATAACGCTTTGACGGCATCTCGTGCGGCACCTTTAAGGCATTTATTTAGTCGCTGGTTGTTGTCAAAGTTTGAGTATCCATAAACGGCAGTCGATTCTGTATAAGCTGCATAGAATACTGGCCAGTCTTCTGGCTGTCCAGAAAACTCGGGTAAATCACGAACTTGTCTAGGCGTTAACATCATCATGTTTTGGCCGGGGATCATGTTAAGCTGCTGCGGCGGTAAGGTGTGATGCGGCGTCGCGGACGTAGCTTGCCGTCGCTCTACAACTCCTGCCAGTTGTTGTTGCAGCTCAGTAATCTGCTGTTGTAGAGCGGATACAGAGTAGTTGTCTGTGGCGATCGTTGGCGCGTATGCGGAAGGTAGCGAGGCGACGGCTTGCGATGGCATATGCGCACTGTAAGGAATAGCGCTCGATGCTGTATGCCCATAAGACGATGGCGGCAGGGTACTGGAAATAATTGGCTTATAAGCATCCGTAACTGGCGAACAAGTTATTGGCGGTGCGGCGGGTACTGCCGTTGGTGCCGGTATACTGGACGGCGGATAGGGCTTGATGGCTGGCATATAGACATAGCGCGAAGGACCGGGCGGTACTGCTGGAATACAACTACAAGACATGACGGGCGCCTCCATTGGCGCGTGAGTATTTGAGGGTACGAACGTGGCGGCTGGACCCTGACCATAAGACATCGCACCACTAAATGGAACTGTCATATACACTGTAGACGGCGGTCCAGGTGGTACTGCAGGCGTGTGACTATCGCACGGCGGAAAGTTTGTGCTAGCTGACATGTTGGTCGCCACTATTGGCGCATGGGTATTGAATGGCGCGGATGTTGCAGGAGAATAACCATAAAGCGCCATAATGCTCGGCGCGGCTGGCTTATAAGCGACGGACGTTGGCGCAGGCGGTACTGCAGACGCGTGACTATAGGGCGGCGGAACGCACGTATTGGCTGAGGTGCACATGAAAGGCGAATAATCGGTCGTTATTGATCTGGTGTACATATTGTCCGATGCACCAGTAGCCAGTGGCATGTCAGGCGGCGCTGGTGACATGTCAGACGACGTCATGCCAGTCACAAGTGGCATATAAGTAATGGGAGACGTATCAGGCAGTAATACTGGCGTAGTAGTAGTAAGCGGAATGTCATGAGCCGCTGTTGTATAAGTAATTGACGATATAGTATCAATAGTAGCAGGCAAATATGTGTTCGACGGCAAAATGTCGACGGCGGTTGACGTAATGGCACTGGACGACATAGTGAAAGTGGTCGTAGTCGAGTTATCTTGAACGCCTGTGTCTAGAGAATCTGTGTTAGGCGGCGATGTGATTGCCAGACATCTCGGAGTACCCTCAGGCTGGCTGCCTGCTCCTGGCTGGAAACGGAGGCCACGGCGAGGTGTATGGTGAATCATGTTTTCGCAGGACTTAGCTGCAAACGAAGCTGCGAAATAAAAATGTTGCTGGCCCTCGCAGAAATGAATGAAATAGAACGTACAATGTTG